AAAAAAAAAAAATAAATAAAAAAACGTTTTTTTTTTTAACTTTATTTTTTAATTTTCTCAACAAAATGGTTAGGCCAAATTTTTTCTGAATTATTAGTCCTATACCATTCTATTGGATTAATTATTGAAATGTATTTAAAATATATTTAGTCTAGTCTTAGATGCCACATACATAACGCATAAAGCTGACCCGAAGGTTATTAAGAAAAGTATTTAGGCATGTTTTTCTTGTTAAGAAATAAACTAATTAATTTAGAAATAAACTCTAATTTTTAGTACATAAATTTTATTTTCAGACTAGTTAAAAATGAATGTAAATCTATACTAAAAAGCTCAAAAATCCAATTTCCAAAAAAAACCTATTACCGAAAACACCTGTTGTAAAAAAAACAACTGCCGCGATCAGGCGCTACCTGCCGCAACACCTGCTGTACCTGCTGCTGTACCTGCCGTACCTGCTGCCGTACCGCCACACCTGCCGCGACACCTGCCGTACCTGCTTTACCTAAAAAAAGTCAATCCGTTTTTTATATTCCATCTTTTTTCTTTAAATGGCTCATATTTCCGGAATTAATAGCCTTATATTACGGAATTTATCAAATTCTTTACATTTTCCGTGAATGGATCCGTGAAAGGCTCATTTTTACGGAGTTTTTAGAGAAATAACGGATAAAATTTTCTATAGGGCGTAAAATGCGGCACACTTTGTCAAGCACGGCTCGCCATACGAAATGACGTAAATTTCTTTATAGAGTTTCCTAAATAAATTAGCTTGTGTAAGACGTTTTAAATTATGAATTAAATTTTGTACAATTAAAAAAAAATAGTTTGCAAAAGAAATTAACATGTCTGAAAAGTCTAATAGGAACTTCGAAAATTTCAGAAGTAATAATTCAAATACTTTGAGTGAATATGAATATAGAAAAAATAAATATGGTTTGTGTACCAAGTGTGAACAACCAAAAACCTCTGCTGAATGGTGCCAAGATTGCAATAGTAAAAGATTTCAACATGATTTTGATAAATGGACTAGTGGAAATCAATATATTGACAAGTTTATTCAAGAAACTCAACTGAAAGCAGGAAATGAAATTGAAGTTTTAGAATGGATTCCTTACAATAGATTTAGAAATATTAAATATCTTTCTAAAGGTGGATTTAGCACTGTCTATAAGGCTATTTGGTTAGATGGGTATATAGTATGTTGGGGCATAACATCATGGAAAAGGTACACTGTTTCATTTAGGCATTATAATAACCATGAAATTGTAAAAGAAGTTAAATCACCTCTTAATAAAAATGAAAAAAGGGGATTTGATGTTGTATTAAAGAGTTTAAATAATTCATCAAATATTAATGATGATTTCTTAAACGAAGTAAGTTATTCTTTTTAAAAAAAAGTACATATTTGTTTTAGTTTAATTAATATTATTGTTTAATTTTTAGTTAAAAATCCATTTTCAATGTGTGTCACGTTCAAGTCGTATTTCTAGTTCAGCCGTACACATATATGGGATAACGCAAGACCCAGAAACGTCAAATTATATGATGGTAATGAGATTTATGAATGAAGGAAGTCTTAGAACTAATTTAAGGAAAAGATGTGATTTTCAAAGATATCATAGTTTAGTGTATATTGCAAAAGCACTTTATTTCATGGTGATTTTCATAGTGGAAATATACTTCTAAATAAAGCTATTAATGTTATAAGCGACTTTGGATTAAGTAGACCAGTAAATAAATCTACTAATACAAATGAAATTTATGGAGTGATTCCTTACATGGCTCCAGAAGTATTGCGTGGGAAGCCATATACTAAAGCTGCTGATATTTATTCTTTTGGAATTATTATGTGGGAACTTACATCTGGTATTCTGCTTTCAATAACAGACCTCATGATTTTGACCTTTCTTTAGATATTTGTAAAGGATTGAGACCCAAAATTGTTGAAAGCACATTACCTATATATGAAAGATTAATGAAGAGGTGTTTGAATTCTGATCCTAATAAAAGACCAACAGCTGATGAATTAGTAGAAATCCTTTCTATTTGGATTTATTATTATCTAAAACGTGGTAAAAAAATTGAAATACCAATTCCTAGTAAGTCAAAAAAAAAAAATTTAATATTTTTATTGAGTTAATTTAATTTATTTCTTATTTAATTGTAAAAGTATATTTTATCTAATTTTATTTATTTAAACTTTTTAGACAACGAACCTATTACTAAAAATCATCCATTATCTTGTTATACAAGCAAAAAAATCAATTATTCTGCGAAGCTAAATGAAATATTAACACAGGAAGAATTAAGCACTAAAATTGTAGTATACGAAGAAAAATTATTAAGTGAAAGTTTAGGTGTATATATATATTTTTTTGAACTCATAAGTAATAATATAAAAGCCTAAATCTAATTCCGTCGTTATTATTTTTTTATTTATTAGAAACTTGTATGATTTTAGATTAGGTAAATTATAAAATTATTTTTGATTTATTTTCGATCACAACTAATAAATAATAATGATTATAAAAAAACTTTCATATTAATAATTACTAAATTGGGAAAAGGAATTTTTTTATTTTTATACGAAAGGTACAATAGATATTTATTTATTTTTTTTTTAAAAAAAAAATATTTACCTAATTTAGATTTATTGGGATCTTAGAAGCCTTTTTATCATAGCAGCTTTGCACAAATACACATTCAGATTCATGATTGTACAGTACGTTAAAAAGAAAGGATAATTTGAATTATGAATAACCTGGTTACTTCTTACTTCTTTATCTCATCCAGCTCCCAAACCTCGTTGTTCCGAATGAACAATATTCTATATTTATACAATTCCTTATTTACCAGAAAATTTCAATTATATTTTGTATATTTGATATTGAGAATTTTGAATTTAAGTAATATTCAGTTAATATTCTGTCACTTTCAAATTTAAATTGTTAGTATTTTAAATAATTTTAAATAATGACAATTGTTTCCTACGATTAAATAATTCAATCAATTTATTTAAAAATTTTTTAAAGTCGAAATCCACTTTCATTATTTCAAACTTGTAATTGTCATATGTAATCACCACCAAAAACTACTGCACGTGATCAATTTTGCCGATCATAACTAAAAATGGCTAGAGCAATTTATCAAAAATTTGGTTTTTTTTTAAACTAAACTTATAATATAGGAATGCTTACCTTCCAAGTTTTGACTTTAGTTAAAAGAGAGTTACGAATGCCATTTTTAACTTCTATATTGAATTCCAAAAGTCGACTTTATTAAGAAATTGGTATTCAAAATCTCCATTTTTTCTCTAAGTAAATTTGCAGAAAAAAAGTAAAAATGCGGTAGGGTTTGATTTTAAAAACTGCATGATACTTTTACTAAGTTTATCTGAAAAACAAGAACATGAAATTTTTTTCGGTAAATTTTTATCATCTATTTTTGGAAATGAACTGCAAATTTGATCACGTGCCAGTAATTTTCTGGGGAAATCCCGAACCACATGACAGATATTTAAAGCTACAAGTTGAAACGTTCGTTATTGATTAGTATTGATCTTTTTATGTCTTTTGGAATTTCTGAATTCTGATAGCGTTAATTATTCTCAAGCTTTCCGGTGGGCGTTCCAATCCGAACCTATCCACCCTATCGCGTTATTATTTTTACGATCATATATAACCAATGATCTTTATAGAATATTTAGCATCCATATTAATGGTGTCAAAATTATATTAAATCTTCTACTCCCTTTTATTTATATTTGTAGTATTGATTTCAAAACCAATGTTTGGAAATTACGTAACGAAAAATGAAAATGTAAACAGATGGATATGGGTATTGTTACGATAAAAAACGATGTGACGAAATCACGTGATATAACCGTTGATCGATGGTAATGATTAATATTACCGTTGGATGATATAACGGGAGGATCAATGTTCGAAATGTTTGATATATCAAATATATCAAATATATTAGATATATTGCACATATTAAATATATCACACATGTTAAACATATCAAACATTTTAAACATTTTTAGCTTAGTGTTTTTACATATAAATAGATGCGTTATTTTTTTATGTATTTAAGATAGATATCCAAGTCACTAAGATATTAAGTGATAATTTATTGATATTAAATAAAAATATTTTTATTGTTATAAATATCTTTGGTTATCTCATTGTTAATTGTTGTCATATACACCTAACCTATTGTTTTATTGTCATTTATTGTCATAATCCTTTATTTGTGTCTGATCGTATTTGCCATTGGGAGTGCAATACTTTATTCACATCTGATCGGATTTGAAGTAAATTTGGTCAATTGTAATTTAGAGATATTAATTTTATTTATTAAACTTGCATTAACTATCGTTATATTACATATACACATATACCTTCTGCTTACCCTAAATAATCTTTTGTTTATATTAATAAACGATAAAAGAACTGATATTAACAGTATTACAAAAAAGGACTTTAAGGCGTATAGTCAAAATTATCGCCAATCAACTAATTCATGGGCGGATGAGCATAAGCGAACATCCCGATTTTATCACAATTTTTCTGATCATCTGTAGATCATTTGTCGATCATTTAATCAATTTTATCACTTCGCAATAATTAAGTTAATTAACTTCGATTGAAAAATTCTACATAATAATATATACTCAAATTTTGCATACAGTTTAATATTGGTTTGAAATTACTGTATATTAAATTTTATTTTGATCGTATTACTATTGGATAACTTTTACTAGTAGAAACTTTTAAATTTTAAGCATTTTTTTATTAACCTTATAACAATTGCAAGTCTTTATTTAATTATAACTTCTTGGTTATTAAAAATTATTCTTGGTTATTTTAGCCATTAATTCTTGAATACCTAATTAATATATTGTAAAAGTTTCAAATTTCGCCCGAACATCTGTGGCTTCGCCCGAAGCTCCAAAGTCCGATTAGGAAATGATCAGCATATATATCAAATATTGAAAATTTCGGCCTAAAAGCTAACTTTGGCGCCACATTTTATTTTGCTACAAAATTTTTATACTAAATTATTAATATATTATACTATTAAAAAAACAATTTAAAATAATTTTTTAGAATATTTATGGCCTGGAATAAAGTCTCAAAATTAGTGTGATATTACATATAATATGATCGGCAAATGATCAGCAAGGTGATATAAGCATGTTCGCTATGCTGGGCGGATGCCACATCTACGCAAACTCGCACACATCGATCTTGTGATCATAATTATATTAATCCTTATTGTGATTTTAGAAATTTTAAATTACACAAATATTTTCTTTATATTTTATTTTTTTCATCTAATTTTTACATAGTGGTACTTTTTATAAACATCTAGAATCTAATGATTTTAATAATTATACCTCCCGTATTAACTTAGACGAACGATTTATTTATAATGTCTAGTTTCCTACACCTTTAAATATTAGAATCTCTTATAATTTAGGTCTTTTTTTTTTCTTTTAGTTGTACCATTGCGTTGGCTATTACTCCTTTATTGGTCGTGGTATTGGGTAGAACCTCAGGATTCTTTTAATTAGAAGTAAGGGTCTGGCTTTGCTAGATGACAGGTTCTATGTTATGCTGTCTTTCTTCGGATCGAATATAGCTATTTCTTTAATCTTGCCAACTTCACATAAAATAAATAAATTAGTATTGATCTTTATAAGACTTATTATTGGTTACTTAAAATTAATGTTGGACTTGGCTCACTTGCTTTGATTAATATATGAAATAAAATTTTTTTTCAAATTTGATAAATACTTTTAACCATTAGAGTACCAGTTGGTACAGCATGTGTTATTCTTACAAAGTTAACAACAGATCATCTCAATTGACTATCAAAATCTACGTCACATTCAAGATGATGAAGATCGAGGTATCCCTTCCAAAAGTGTTCATTATTTTTATAATCAGAATTGATAATAATATGACGTGTTAAAATGTTTGTTCGAGGAGATAAAATAGCAAAATTTAGTTCGTCATAGAAATGCTTCCACCAAAGGCTTGTTTAAAATTTCGAAGTTAGAATGTATCATCTGGTATGGAATTATAGATTATTTTTTTTTTTCTGATTAATGATTATTGCGGTTATTGCAACTTATTAAGGACTTAAATTTAAGAGTATTATAAATATACTTTCTCCTTTTTTGTTCTCATTACCTTCACTTTCTTATTTGTTTTGAACTATTTATTTTTTGTACGAAAGAGTAAGAGAATGCTGAAAAAAAAAAATTGGAAAAGTGAGAGGATTGTTAAAATTGATGCTTTTACACAGTAATACATAAAAATCTTATCACGTTATTCGTCTTCTACGATATGATTTTAATTTTGAATTTTGATAAGACAGAAACTTTGTACGGAAATACATATAGCTAAAAATGTTATGAGAGCTCCTGCTAATGAATACATTGGACTTTTACCAATTAAATTACAAGGTAGACTAATTTGTCCTGGAGGGACCTTTAGTGGACTTTTCTTCTCTGAGGAACTTAAATTTGCCTTAGAAAATGGTTACCAATTACTAGAAATGAAACTAGCCTATTCTTTTAAGAGAGGGGCAAATACTTTCTTACGAAAATAAATATTAAGTATACAAAATTTAAAGCTGTTTTAACTTGCCACAGTGAGTTTTTTTTTTTATAATAGATAATTTATTTTTATTGTGCCACCATTTGGCGTAAATTCTAACATAATATAAACATAGAAAATTCAGATTTTTTTGGCTTTGTTTTCTGATTTCTCTAAGTTATCGTTGTTTCAAATGGTTAGTGCCCTACACTTTTTTGAAATCGGTATATTTAAAAACCACGATTTTGAAAAATTAAAAAATGAACTCTATTTTTGATTTTGGAATATGTAAATACAACGAACAATTAGTAAAGATTAGAGGGGAGGAATTTGTATTTTGAATGATTTAACAAATTTCTTAAATTATTTCATTATTGATTTACAAATGGGTCCTTTACGGATTTTAACAAGTCGAAGTTATGACTTTAAACTAGCATACTAGGTAATTGGAATTTATAAATATAATTGTTAATAAATATATCTCTAAAAATTAAAACATATTAAGAATAATTAAGAATACAAATTCGCTCTTACGAAATCTTTGATTCATTGGAAAAATTTAGAAAGTGAATATAATTATGATAATAGAAGAAATTTTTTTTAGACGTAAACTTAATCCTCATCTGGGCACAATATAACATTAATTTTTAAATATGGCTAGGGGAAAAGATTTCAATTAAGTAATATTTTCCATCAGCGCTTTCAAACGACTCAAACGATTTAGCTCACACCACTTGCTGTAAAAGGATTTTAACCGTGAACAATTAATAGTTTATTTCAATTACGTGCTTTCATATTAGCAATATTAGTAAACAATTCCAAAATCTTTTTTCCAAAAGATAAAAGATGTAGTATTAACGTCTTATTAACCAAATAAATATGACATAGTATTTACTGTTAATAATTTTCTACATTACATAAATAAATGTACATACTGTATATACATATTTAAGTAGGTCCCAGAAAATACATATACAGGGGTAGGTAGGGTACACAGATGTGTCGTCATCATAGTGGAATTAGACGGTGATTTGCGTACAATTTAAGAATTTTTCATCCATAGTTAGGTCATCAAGATTGCGTTTTTTTTATCAAAATTTTTATATGTAAAAAATTAGTTTGCGTATTTTGGGCTAATTTTATATATATAATACTGTATATTTACTGTACGTTAAGCGCATTGTAATATTTGGTATTAATTGAAAGAAATTTCTAAGGGTTAAAAAGTGAAATTTTGGTAAATTAGAATAAATTCTATTTTTCACATTAGTATTTGGTTTTATAAATAATATAAAATCATGATAAAATAATTTATAACTTTATAACTTAATGTCTGGAGTTTTATTTGCGTATTTTTGCAGGATTTTCAATATCAGGTGTCAATTATACGTACTATTCATATAGAAGTCACTGCGTACAGCTCATAGTAAAAAAATTTTTCGCCACCTGTCCCCTATATATATATTTCTGGGTCCTATCTAAGTTACTATCTAAGTTAGGGTGAAATAAATCTTTTTAATTGCATTTGCTTTAATAAATCAGTCTAATCGAGATTCTAAGATAAAATTTTTAGAATTTATGTTATCTATTTTAATAAAAAATTTAAACCTTTTTCAGCCTCTTGGCATCCATTTTCTGCAGCTTTTTTGTACCAATAAATAGCATTCTCAATATTTTTTTCGGCTCCTTCTCCTCGTTCGTATAAAGATGCTAGGCTATATTGTGCATCAACATTTCCTCTCTTTGCAGCCATCTTAAAGTAATTAAATGCCTTTTCTTTATCAATATCAATCTGAGTTCCATAATTTTAAATATACCCAACTTTATATTGAGCATCTATATATTCTTGATCTGCTGATTTCATATAGAATTCAAATGCACGTCTTTCATTTTTATCAACACCTTTATCTAATTCATAAAATTCACCTAGTTTATATAATGCAAGTTTATTATCATTTTCGGCAGCTTTATGATACCAATAATTAACCTTGTCTAAATCATTTACTAGTTCTTCATCACTTTCAATAAGGTTAATTCGGATATTAGTGCCAGCTGCCTCATTATATAATTCAAATCCTTTTTCTTTATTAATTTCAGTTCCAATACCATTTATATAACAATATCCAAGTTGAAATTTTGCACTAATGTCTCCATTTTCGGCCGATTTTTCATAAAATTCAAATGCTTTTGATTTATTAATTTCAGTTCCAATTCCTTCTTCATAATAATATCCAAGTTGATACTGAGCATTTATATAATCTTTTTCTGCTAAATCTTTCATTAATTCAAATGCTTTT